ATATATTTATATTTTATTTTTTATTTACAATTATAATTACCATCATTATAATTACCATCATTATATTTTTATTATTTTTATATGTTTTATATTTATTAAATAAGTATAATTCTTATTAAGTAAAACTAAAACTAAAATTAAAATTTATTAAGTAAATATAATATAATTAAACTTTTATATATTTTAAGTTATTATTTTATGTAATTATTATAAGCATATTTTCTTTTTTTATAAATGCATTTATTTTGAATTGTAAAATTTATTTTTGCATTATTTGGTAATATTGTGCAATTATTAAATAAAATAAATCTGTTTTCTTTATTTTTTATTGTTTTTATTTTTTTTTTTCTTTGAAGATATTTACGGACCGAAAACGGTCTGGATATAGTTTGAGAATGACGCTGGTTGGGGGAGAAACTTTTAAAAGTTACAAGCGAGTCCACCATATTCAAACCGAAAACGGTCTGGATATAGTTTAAGAATGGCGTTGGTTGGGGGAGAAACTTTTAAAAGTTACAACCAAGTCCAATATATTCAGACCGAAACCGGTCTGTATATAGTTTGAGAATGCCGCTGGTTGGGATGGAAACTTTTAAAAGTTACAAGCCAGTCCACAATATTCAGACCGAAAACGGTCTGGATATAGTTTTAGAATGGCACTGGTTGGGGGAGAAACTTTAAAAAGTTACAACCAAATCCACCATATTCAAACCGAAAACGATCTGGATATAGTTTGAGAATAATGCTGGTTGGAGATGGAACTTTTAAAAGTTATAACCAAGTCCAATATATTCAGACCGAAACCGGTGTGGATATATTTTCAGAATGAAGCCAGTTGGGACAGTAATTTTTAAAAGTTACAAGAAAGTCCAACATATTCTGACCGAAAACGGTCTGGATATATAGTTGCAAGTTTTAAAAGTTGTTGTTGGGTTCTCCATATTCGGACCGATCTCGATCTGTAAATATTTGCTATACCTCTTTCCGCCACATTTTCAAACCGTTTTCGGTTCATACATATTTTATTATTTTATTATATTATTTTTTTGGGACCAATTTCGGTCTGCTTATTTTAAATTTTAAATAACCATTTATATTTCTTACTGAAATATTCGGATCGATTTCGGTCCGTATATTATGTATATACGGACCGATTTTATGTCGGTCTGTATATTATATTTTTTCGTATCAAGTTTTTTCAGATCAACTATAGGGACCAAGATCGGTCCGGATATATATATTCAGACCAATTTTAAATATATCCGGACCAATATTTCGGTTTGAATATCCGATTCCTGCAGTAGTGTTTTTACCTTTTAATAAAAATTGTATCAACTCTTTATTACTATAAGTTAGCATGACGTTCTATGGTTTCAACACTTAATTTTTAATATTGGTAATGTTTTGTGATTGTAGGATTAGATTTCTCACACAAGAGATAATTGTACTGAAGATGCACTAAATGAAGGACATATATGTTCAAAGAGGTCCTTTATTGAGTCTAGTCTAGATGAAGTTTCTAATAGCCTTCTTTAGCAGTCTGCAACAAAGATCAAGAAGCTCATAAGGACTGAGAAAGATTGATGACATGTTGTTTTCGCTCGAGGACCAGTTTCAGTTGTGCTAATTCTTTCGGAATCTAAAGGTGAGACTTTTGTTGTTCTTACTAAACAAGTAGAGTTATTTTTTATTGCTCTTATCTATTATGTCATACTTGAATTCTTTGCTCGCTTTTTTTTTGTGGATTAATGGTAAACTGGAGCTTGTGGTAGATCCTTATCAAATTCTTGAGAGGTTCCTTTTTGTTTTGGATTTTTTCTTTTCTTCTAGAAATAAATGACTTGTTATTTGTTTAAGTAGGCTACTAGATTAAAAAATAAGTATGTATTATCTTGAGGTGACTTTGATAGTGAAATGTAAAAAATTATCACTTTTGTAGGAATAGGAGTATGCCTCTTTCTGTGAATTGAAAAGAATGCCTCTTTTGTGCTTCTCTTGATTTAGCTGGTTTTTGAAGTAAATGTGTCACGCCCCATAACCCAAATTCAAGGCGCGACAGATGCCGTACACTAGTGAGACGGGTCCCACAAGTGCACAAGGCTCGGAACTTAGCATATCACACTCTGATACCACCAAAATCTGAAGATCAAATTATAAAATTCTCTCTGATATCATAAAATCTCCAAATACAAGATCATGATTTATTTCTAAAATTTATATCAATCTCGAAATGGCTAGCTTTCTAACTCGTCACTTCCCGTGGTTTCCCTGTCCTCGGTTTCACTTCCTGAAATGGTGGACAAGGAAAACTATGAGATAAACTCAGTAAGTAAATATGGATTGCCTTTAATTAAACTTATAGCATGCCAACATGTGCAATCACGCAAAACAGATACAGTACGGGAACGAAATAGACGTCTCCTCTATAGGTCACGGCCAGCGTCTAACACCCACTGGCAGGCACACCGTTTGCTGGTGTATAATCCCCACAAGTAGGGTCACTGTTTGCTGGTGTATAACCCCCACAAGCAGGGTCACGAATAACATATCGACATGTGCCGACATGTGCTAGCGTTTAACTCCCACTAGCA